GGGCGGAGCTGCGGGGAGAGTGGATTTAGAGCCGGCCGGCGGGGTGGAGCAGGGTGGAGTCCAGGCGGGTGGGCACGCTCTACACCTAGGGCCGGGAAACTGGGAGCGCAGCCTTCGATCCCTGGATCTGCTGGCCCGACCGGCCCTGCCGGTCCTATCGTCCTCCAGTACTAGCACAGGGAGGGGCTGAGCGACGTGGAAAGTCAGGGAAGGGTGCTGGGGAGCGGGAGCTAACTGGACAGACTGGTGAACTGGGCGGCCAGTAGCCTCCCAGTGTGGAGTGCAAACTTCCACTGAAGTAACTGTAGTTATTCAGCAGGAAGCTTTGATGGGGCACCTAAGGGCGGTATTCGGAAGGAACGATTTGATCACTCTTAAGAGAAAAGTTCTGGACTGATTTGAGGTTTCAGTACTTGTTCTGTGAAGGAGAAAGCATATACAAAGGACTTTTCTGCCAGATGTGGTGATTCACACTTGAAGTAGGAGAATCACCACAGTTCGTAAGAGTTCAAGTGAGACCCTACCTCAGAAAACAAACAAAAAACCTTTTCTAATCTCCCCAAGCCTGCTTTGTTGTTGCCCTGTAGCGATTACTAGTTAAACCTTCAAATAAAAAGGACTATGCTGTGCTAGTTTGTTTGGTTTTTGGAGACAGGGTCCTCTTTTTTTGGTACTGGGGATCGAACTCGGGACCTTGCGCTTGCAAGGTAGGAGGCTGAACCACTGAGCTAAATCCCCAGCCCAAAATTTTTCAAAGGTTACAGATGTCACAGATTTTTTTTTTTTTTTTTTTTTTTTGTACTGGTACCCGGGATTGGATTTGGGATCTTACGCTTTTGAGGCAGGTGGTGGAAACACTGAGCTAAAGCCCTAGTCCTTGTTTGGTTCTTCAAAAAGCATCTATGTAGCCCAGGCTGGCCCCAAACATAGCCTCCTACCTCAGCCTCTTAAGTGCTAGAGTTAAAGGTGTCCACCACTATGTCAGTCTACTATGTTTGCTTTAAAAGAATAAAAATGAAATTAGGCCCAGAGAAAGCTAGATGGGCTGATAGGAATGTCAGGAAATAGAAGGGTACCTTATCCACTGCTGAGAAGCTGAGAAAAGGGTTGGGTGGTCTCTTATCATAAACAACTTTCACTTGACAGGAAGCTGAAAAACTGGCATTTTTATTCAGACATGTATAAAAACAAAAAATTAACAATACACTTCCCTCTAGTTTCCATCCAAGAGAATAAGAGGTCTGAAGATGGGTCCTCTTTCTAACCCAACTAGAAGCTTCTCACTTTTTGGATGAGAGTACAGTAACTTCTAAAAGTGGGTCTTTGGGACTTTTGTAAATCTATAAGAAGTGGAGATCATCAATAGCACACAAGCTGTGGTTAACACAAAGATGTCCAATTTTTTTGTTTTTTGGGGTACAGGGGTAGAACTCAGGACCTTGCACTTGCAAGGCAAGTGGTTGCACCACTGAGCTAAATCCCCGGCCCTCTGGTTATTTTCTTCTGACCAATCCTCCACTACTTCCTGAGAGAAGTCTAGGTGTAAGAGGATGTGGCTGCTGGAGTTCAACTTGATTCAGTGCAAAAACAAGAAAATGTCCCTTACATGATCTCTGACTTGCATCACTTTTCCTTTTTTTTTGGGATGGGGTCTCACTATGTAGTTGAGACTGACCTGGAACTATGTAGCCCAGGCTGGTCTGGAACTCACAGATCCTCCTGCCTCAGCCTCCCAAGTGCTGGGATTACAGGCGTGGGCCACCACACCCAGCCTACCACTTTTTCTTGAAGAAAGAGAATATGCATTGGAATTGGGAAATTTTGAATCCTAGACCTAATTTCTTCAGGCTTAGTCACCCCTCCCCATGATTTGCTGTCTGCAGTTTGAGTTACTTGAGGAGCCACAGTCTGAAAATATTAAAATGAAAAATTCCAGAAATAAACAATTCAGTTTAAGTTGCATTTTCTGAATAGCATGCTGAATTTGCACACCACCTGGTTCTGTCCTCTCAGGGAAATTAACCCTTTGCCCAGTGTATTCATCTGCCCATTAGTAGCAGTCTCAATTATCAGACTGTTGCACAGTGCTTGTGTCCTTATTTTACTTAATAATGGCCACACGGTGCAAGAGTTGTGATGCTGGCAATTCAGACACGTGAAAGAGAAACTGTAATGGACTTCCTTTAAGTGAAAAAGTGACAGTTCTCAATAAAGAAAAAAAATCCTATGCTGATGTTGCTAACATCTATGACAAGAACAGATCTGTCTGTGAAAATGGAAATAGGTGTCAGTCCTAGTTTTGTTGTTGCTTTTCAAACTGCAAAAGTTATGGGCACAATGCATAATACTTCACTGAAGGAAAGGGCATTATACATTTCAGTAATATCCCATGTCATACATTCACTGGGTATCTTGGAACACGGGATGGGGGGCACTGTCTTTGTAAAATGGGATGTCTACTTCACAAATCTGTACAGATTATAAAGGAGTGAGATAATACAGGAGAGAGTTAGCATGATGCCTAGCTCTTGGGAAATGCTCAACGTAGTATCTACTCCTAACCTCTCTCTTCCACAAAATTTATATTTTCCAGTCTTTCCAAGGGATTACAAGTCATAAGCCAAAATATGACCCCTTTCACCAGGTTTTCCCCTTCCTCCTCTTTATGACAGTATGATGGGAAACAAAGGCTCACTAGTTCCAACAGGTAAAAGCCTCAAAGAGAAAGCGATTGGCAAAATAATCCTTCATATCTCCAGGGAGTTCCTGTGAGGAAGCTGAGGAGTAGAGTTAGCAAAGCAGACAAAACCTTCTTTCCTGGGGCTGGAAAAGAGGAGTACAGTGGCTATATACTGTACAAATTTCATGTTAAAGTGTTTAAAAGCCTCCAGAGGTTGAATGGAGTTGTCTGGGATGCAAGAAATGGGGCTGAGACCTGTGAGGGAAGAGGGAGTTAGGAGTCCCCTCTATAGACACTAGCTGCCATCAAATGCTCCAAGTGTCCCAGGGAGCAGGGGTTACGTTCTCTGGGCATTAGCCTTAGGGAAAAGCCTGCTATGCCAGTAGTCAGGGTTGTCAAAGGCAGAGTCTGTGGCTTCTAAGCTTCGTAGAGTTTTGAGGCGGGCGTAGCGAACATGGGTGGCATTGTGTCCAGGCCCCTGAAAAGCTCTCATCTCTTCATAACCTTGTTCAGCTACTGGGCAGGCCCCCATGGCTGCATAATCACCCCCTGCACCACCTCCACGCTGCCGATTCATATATTCATAGTCCTCATCAGGAGTGGTGCCAGCAGAGGGCATGATGGGAACAGGATGGAGTGGGCAACTCTGTGTGCTACCCAGAGAGGCACTGAGGTCTGATCCTACATCCATGTACTCATAACCCAGCTCTTCAAGGGAACCAGGTCTAGGGGGACGAGCTGGACTATGCCTTCTCCTCCGGTTCATGTATTCATACTCCTCATCTTCTTCTTCTTCTTCTTCAGTTCCCAGGACAGAACTGAGACCCACTGAAGAAAGGGTGCCTTCCCGGGAGGAAGAAGTACCTAGAGTTGAGAAGAGAGTAAGTATGTGGAGAACATCATGGTAACAGGTAGAAGAGGTTGAGGGAAAGGTAGAAAAAATGAATAAGAAGGGATATGATCAGAGAAAAGAATTAAGAGGAGCTGGAAGAGAGGATTAGAGGAACATTCGAACAAAGCTCTTGAGGAGTCAGGCACCTTTAAGATGTGTGTCTGGCATGACGTAACCGTTGACATCCTCTTCCTCTAACCCTGGCGGGGACAGTGAGGTGACAGGGGTAAGCAGGCTGTGGCGCTGGGAATGGTAGGCACTGTCTCCACGTGGCCGTGGGCTCCGGCTCCGGCTTCTACACATCGACACCTTTTCCTGGAGCTCAGCCTCAGAGCCCATCACATGGTCCTCTGATGACTCTGATGTCAGGTGTGCCCGTGGCACTGGGTGCACAGAGACAGGCCGGGGGCACCGATCACTATCTCCACAGTCTACAGATTCCTAAGTAGGAAAATAAACAGAAAATAATAATTTTTAAAAGGGTGGGCGAGTGGGGTGGGGTCTGGGGAAGAGCTGGGGCTGGTTCAATCCCCAGAACTGGAAAAAAGAGAAAAGAAAGAAAGGGTAAGAGACATTTGTTTAGAAGGAGGGTAGGCTGTTCAATTCCTTTTTTTTGCAGGGTGCTATTAAACCTTAAAGGTTTCAGTGCTGCCACACTACCCTATCAGCACTGTCAAACCCTTAAGATTCTCTGCCACCCTGTCTTTCAGCAAACCTCACCTGGGAAGCTTCCCCAACGTTACTCTGGTTCATAGGCATGTATCCAGATGATGGACTTAACGGGCTCTGGCTCTAGGATGGAAGAAAGTAAGGAAAAGCATAAAAGGAAGGGAGAATTTACTTTCACAGTATGGGCCTTTGAGTAGCTAATCTGGGTGTCTGTAGGGCACATAAGGGCTCAGGGTACAGAGTCCTGAACAATCAGAAGGTGTCCTACCCCGCGTGGCCGAGTAAGCGTTCCAGATGGTAAACTGAGGGCAGAGCCTAGTGTAGTTGCCAGGCTGTCCTCCTCTCCCTCCAAGTCTGAGTCTAGGTCCAGTTCTGGCTCCAGCTCTACTTCTTCCAGTTCCTTATCTGTCAGAGCATGGGGCTCTGCCCCAGGAGGTATTCCAGACCCACTCTCTCTCTATAGGGGCAGATAATTGTTAAGGTAAATCTCCAGCTAAATCCTCTTTATCTCTAAATATCCTTGACAGCTTCTAGTCCTTACCTTTATGACTAGATACCTAGGTGGATCACGGGCCATCCTGGTGAACTCATTGGCTAGTTCTTTAAAGGTTGGGCGAATATTCTCATCAATCATCCAACCTGGAGATGAGATAAAGAAGTAGAGCCAGAAAAGAGATTAGAGCCATAGAGGAGGAGGGAGGGAAGTCAACCGCCCCCTCTACCCGTGGCTGGGGTCCACAGGTAACTCACACTTGACCATGACCATGTAGACATCAATGGTGCAGATCTGAGGCTGTGCCAGCCTCTCTCCCTTCTCCAACAAGTCTGGTACTTCAGCCAATCGCAGCCCAGCATAGGGCTCTGCCCCAAAGGTCATCAACTCCCAAACTGTTACACCTGGTACAGGAAGAAATGCACTAGTCAGTCCAAAAACAGTAGAGAGGAACAAGGTAAAAGGGAAGGCAGAACTCCAAGGATACAAGGATCTGAAATGCCTATAGTTCCTAAGAGAAGAGGACTCAAAAGGCTGTGGAATTGGGGCCAGTAATGATATGGAGGACACTTAGATGCACTGACCATAGCTCCAGACGTCACTCTGGTGTGTGTATTTTCCAAAGTGGATACTCTCAAGGGCCATCCACTTGATTGGAGTCTGAGGAGTAAAGATAAAGGTGCCACTTGTTGATTTCCACAAATTTTCTTAGCATTTTCAAACATTTAAGTTCTCTATCATTTTCATTGTTGCTTTCTAAACTTAAATTTCTGGCATCTCCAGCTTCCTTCCTTGAATTTACCATGAAACAACTGCATAACTCAGAGAGAGACTACCAAGTACTTCCTTATCCCCATGCTCCCTGCTCAGCCCGTGTGTCACCTTACCTTGGCTTCACTATGTAGTAGCTGCTTGTCATCGGGGGGCAGCAGGTCAGCCACACCAAAATCTGCCACTTGAACCTGACTGGGTGACTTAAGTAGCACATTTCGGGCAGCCAGGTTCCTATGCACCATACCATGCTCCTCCAGGTAGTACATACCCTGTGGTGGAGGAAGTAGTTTCAGGGTTGGGGGAGTCAGTTGTTGAGGTACAGATTCCCCTAAATCCTGAAAGAAAGCATCTCTGACTCCAGTCTTCCCACTGCTCCCCTGACTGCCCCCAGACAAGCAGTGCTTAACTCCTCCAGGCTTCTCTCACCTTGGCAATTTGTACTCCCCAGTTGAGCAGCAGCTGTGGTCCCAGTGCCCCCCGATGTTGTCTCACATGATCCAGCAGGGAACCCAGAGGCAAGTATTGAGTGACAAGCTGCAGAGATGACCCTGGGCAGAGGCCTAGCAGCCGGACGATGTGGGCATGGTCTAAGCTGCCTATGGCCAGCATATGCTATGAAACACAAGAAATGTTATCAGAGGAACAAACAGGTTCCCATATACTCAGCACATGCACACCCAGCCCAGGGCTTTCCCCAGTATTCAAGTACAGCAGCATGGCTAACACTTCCTTACTTACGTCTGTCACAGCCTGAAAACTTTGCCGACCACTCTTATCCTCAATGACTTTAATGCAGACTGGAATCTTGATGGATTCACCCTCAGGGATCCACACCCCCTGGGGAGTTTGGTGCAGGAGTAAAATGAGGGCCATTTTCCCCAGGTCATCTTTTGCCACACCTACTCTCCCTTTGCCCTAGGTCCTTTTCCACCTCCCAGACTCCCTGTGGGTCACTCACTTTGTGCACTGTTCCAAAGACACCTGAACCAAGCACTTTCAGCTTCCTCAGCTCAGTCTCTTTGAAGATTCTGGCGTAGACTTTGTTAGCCTTCTCACTAGGATCCAGAGGCTCTATGCTCTGAGGAGCAGATGGAAAAGAGGTACTCAGAAAAGTGCACATCACATCTCACTCCTACAATCTCCCCCTAGGTGGATGCCAAGGGCAACAGCAGGGTGAGGCAGGAAGAGCAATCGTCATTGGTCCTGGAAAGCCTCACAGGCATGCTGAGCAATAAGACTGCAGGACTGAGGAAGTTGTCTGTGCTCGTGAAGTCAGGAACCAAGACTGTTGGGTGTTCCTTGCTAACTAGAGTAGCAGGAGGTGGCTGGGGGACATTGGTCATGCTATCCCCTTGAGGATCTTTTACAGTGTTCTGTGCTTCGCGAAACATTTCTGCACACATGCACACATCATTCCCTTTCACCTTTCAGCCATCGTGGGGAGAATGAGTGTTTTTTCCTTTGTACAGATGCATAAAACAAGGCACAGAGAAGGAAAGTAACTTCTTCAAAGTACTGTGGCAAATTAATGGCAAAAATAAAACTAGAATTCACACCTCCCATTTCCCTAGCTGGTATTCTTTCTGGTGGACCACACTATCTTTGCAGAACTTGATCAACTCTCCAGGGAAAGCAGAGGGGAGTGATGTTCATCCCATCACTTATCCTTGGGTACAGTGGCATAGGAACCTCTCAAAATTATGCTAAATACTCACCTCACCCCGTTCCAAGTAGCGCCTCATAGCCCTTTTATTCTGAATCCGGCGCCCACGCCAATAGAGAAAAGTGCTGGCTAGGACCAGCATAATCACTGTCAATCCAACTGTCACAGCCAATGCCAGATGGGTTTTGCTATGGGATGAAGAGAGGTCCAGCATTATCGTGGGTTTACACCTTCCTCACAAAACCCTCTATACTTGCACTGGAGATACAGTGCAGATCTGGGGCAAGAAGTTAACATTCACATAGACATATACCCTTGAGCATTGAAGGGGTTAACCTAAGGCTAGGACCTCCCTGCCTTAGGCTATTACAAGTTAATATTAGGAAGGAAAGGCCAGAAACCTAGATTCTTTTTTCTCTCACCTTCCTCCAGACTGGGTCTCATTATGTTTTTCAGGCTGGCCTTGAACTCACTATGTACCCCAGGCTGGCCTTAAACTTCAAGTGATCCTTCTGCCTCAGCTTTCTGAGTGCTGAGATTATGAGTGTGAGCCACCACCCTGGGCTAGAAACCAAGATTCTTTTCTTTGGGTACTGGGCACTTAAACTTGGGACCTTGAGCTTGTGAGGCAGGCTGCAGAACCACTGAGCTAAATCCCAGGCCCTGAAACCTAGATTCTTGAGTACAGTGATAGCTAACTATGTATATGTAAAAGGCCAGAACCAGACACAGCTACGCTTCCCCTCTTAACCAGCCCGTCTCTAACTTCTCACCTATATATCCCCAGCTTCCAGAATCTCCCAGCTCACCATACCTGATTAGTACCAGTGGTTGGCCCAGACAGTCTTGTAGCTCTGGTCCCTTACACCTAGAGTAGAAAGTCACTCCCTTATATGGATGCTTGGAGAACAGAGGTTCAAATCCAGCAGTCTCAACATACAAAAGTTGGTTTCAGGACCTACCAGGGCATCCCACCCTGAAGCCCAAAGCTGTCCCAAGACAGGACTTTCATCTCCAGCTCACCAGCCTTCCCTTGAGCCCTTCTTCAGCAAAATTCCCGAGCTGAGATTGTTCCAATCCCCCAAAACTATGGTGTTATTTTTTTGTGCTGTCATTGAGTTCCCTTCCTCCAACCATGTATTGTACAGCTGGGATTTTTTTTTTTTTTTTTTTTTTTTTTT